GACCTTTTTATAAAGTTGTTTGGTTAGCGGTTATCCTCAAGGGGCCGAGGTGACGCAAACTTCCTCTTTTGCTGTTTTCTGAGTTAAAGAACTTCAACTTCTGCCAGCAGATGTAATTTAATTATGATGTCATAGTGGTAGAGATCTTTTAGTATATTAAATAATTGTGCTTTTAAAGTTAGCTACTGGATTAAGAAAGAAAAACGGGCTTATTAGGCTTCAAAGGGTTGACATTGTGTTTTTCGTCTAGAAGATTCTTTGAAATAATCTAAATGGTAAATTTACTTAATAAAGGGGAATGACGGCTTCTGGGGTGCCTATTTCAAAACTATAGGTAGGGTGAGAGAAAAGCTCAGATAAAATTGTCTGTTTAACTTCGAGACGGATTTTTTATATAACTGCTGTCTAATACATCCGCAGTACCTTGCTTGGAATGTGTGTTGAGTCGCTTGACCAAAATAAGTAACCCCTTAATCTTCGGCGTGCTTGTTCAGAATTTCTTCTTTAGCATTTCCCTTCCTGCTATTTTTGCAGTTCAGACTGCCACAAGAATTACGAAGTTTTGACTGCTCATAACGAGGTCCATTTGTTAGTGGCTAGAGGCTTTCCTGAAAATTTATATGCAGAGACAATCGCTATATCGTCTTGACCATAAAGTTTTATTTTTAACTGCAATTGCCTCTGGGGAAGTTAACTGATTAAATGAAGTCTCTGAATGGGCAAGGCGTCATCTAACTTTATACTGCTACGCCTCCTTTTTGAAAGTCAATTCTGCCTTTACGAGATACTAGGTAGTTGGGCATTTAAAAGATTTTTGTGCTTTAGGTGTGTTTCTCTCACAAGAACTGTATAGATTTCTTTTCTTATAAGAATTCTCCCAAACCCTCTCTTTTGCATCGATTGTCATCGGCGTTTTAGAATAGAATACTAAAGCACTTCAATGCGATTTTTTCTAGACAATCTTAATACTTTGAGAAGCTTATAAAACAATGAGTGTAATGAAAAGTGTAATTCTTAAATTTAATTGGTTACTCGAAACTTTTTATTCAGTGCAAACCCTCTCTTTCGTTGAGGAGATAGCCGTAGATTTTTAAAAGGCGCTTTTTAGTTCAGGTACAGTAGTGGTGGGTGTAAGTTGCATTTTTCTTAATTATGCTTTTTTCGATAAATATATACACCCTCTCCTCCCCTAGATTGTAGTGTGGTTGCTCTAACAATTAGCACATTTTAGGGATACCTCCGGTGTTTTTGTGTAGCATATTGTTTCGTAATTCTCACCACCTTTGAAGCACTTGTGGGCTAAGGTACAGTAATTTGAGTTAGGCCGAACAACTGACAGCGACGACATCGACTAATCCTTGAGCTGTTCTTAGGCTTTCACCAGAGATTGTGAGATGACAAACAGAAGTAACTTTACAAATTGATACTTCTGTTTTTGGTAGATGCACAAAAACAAATGAAGAGGTTTCTCTTTGTCTTTAAAGCTTGTCATTCAAGTGATTTTTAACGGGTGACATCGCTGTGACCGTAGACCCTCTTTGATCCCTTCGCAGTTCAATTCTGGACATATATCCCTGGGATCTACATTAAGTGCTTGCTATTCAGGTAGCTAATAGGTAGTAAACTTCATAATTTTTTCAAGTAGAAACTTTGTGGCTTTCCGAAACGCATCAGAACTTATCGGGTATTCCTTGAGGTGAAGTTAATATCGTTACTGTTTAATAAAAGGGAAACTACTTCCGGCCGTTTATGCTTTTCACGCACAATTTGGGAGGATTGTTTATTTTGGGGGGTGTGCAACCAGTATTGTGGTTGGTGGTCACTTTAATACTAATTTTAGAAGTGTTAACACTACTCTTACTGCTCTTAGTAATAAGGGTATAACTGTTAATATTATTACCACGGTCCTCACCACTATTGTTAATAGTATTATACTTATTACTACGGTTGCTGCTACTATATATGTAATTGCAGTCACAGTTTTATAATTTATTACAGTTAGTAGTGATATTATTCTTATGATCAATGATAATAGCAACTTAGCCTACATCTACGGGCGTGAGCGCTGAAAACTTATTAGAATGTGGATTTTTCAAGCAGTAAAGAATTGCCCTTTCGCCTTCTTTGGAAGCATTAAAACAGGAGTTGTTTACTTTACTTGTAAGTTCGGAAATCTTGTTTGCAAAATCTCTAATTATGTTTTTAGTTCTCCCATGGTACTAACAACTTGGCCACCAACTTGTGAGGGTTGAGAGGGGGAGGAGGGGCAGTGTGTTTTCATAGGTATATATAGCAGTAATATCGGGGCTTCTTCGTTTTGGGTGAGGGCTCCTAGTCGGGGAGGTCTTGTCTGGCAATGGTGCTAGCCGATGTCTCCAGGTGGCCTCGGGTGTCTCTAAAACTGTCTCTCCCGGTTGTGGTTTTTAGTGGTTTCCCCCGGACCGAATGGCGGGTGTCCGGGCCCGATATTTCCCGGTTTTTCAGTCCTTCGGATCAGCATTATAGCTCTATAAAAAGCGTACACTGGTGAGCACTCGCGCTCCAACCCCTGCAGAAGAAGGGAATTCAGATGAAGCGGCTTAAGGCCCCAAGAAGATTAGCCGTAGTATGCCAGTACTAAACAATATGTATGTGTATATAAAGAAATATATATATAAAGTTAGGACGTATAATAAACAGTCGACAATTGCACATCTCCAAACCAGCAAAACAAGCTCTTGCGACTATTGCCCGACGAACTTTATTTCGTGCGAAACGATACGTTACATGATGAACTGGGATCCGAACGACTTGAAATCTTTTTCCGAGATTCAAATTGCATCCAAACCACCAGTGTATTCAAGAACTTCGTATGAACCTGGGAAGGCTCACGCTGTCGTAGGCTCCGCGATCCCCGTTAAGCGACATAATTACAGTTTTGTTAACCTGAGATTAAGTCTGCGCACGGGATTACCGAGCGTCTGCACAGTTCGTTATAAAAAAAAGTATATTTACCGTTAAGTTGTTGTATTCCTTCTTCTTTCTTGGCCACTCTCGGTTGGGGAGTTAGTGTTGAGAGTCGGACTGCGCTAATTAATTGTTGAACCAATTTGTTCATGTCTTAATTAATATTTAAAACTCTTCTTATTTAATGTTATAATGTTTTAATATCGTTTACTTTGGTGGGGGAACGTTTAACTCATTGTAGTAAATTTTTCAAGGCATCTCGGTGTCTCGAGTATTGAAGCATTTTGTCAGTCAACCGATTTTTGCTGCGAAATTTAAAGCTAGCTTGGATGCCCAAAAGGTGGACTTATAGTGTTATTTACAAGTTGTATATAATATATCGAGAGGGGTTAGTGATTAGAAATGATTTTTGCATTTCAGATAGTTATAAGACCCTTTGCTAATTTAGATGCTACCATTCGACCATTAATTCTGATAATTTTGTTTTATGAAAGCACAACTAAAATTTATTGTTCCCATTGAGCTCAGGATTCGGACACAATTTTAGATTTACGCGGTGCTTTATTTTATGATAAAGTTAGGGATGTTGTTGTATAAAACTAAGGAGGTTTAGTAAAGTTAGATAATGAATACTCTTGAAGATAATAATAATTTACATAACACCGACTGCGGAATGTGTTAATATGGTAGTAGACTAACCTCAGTTAATAAAAAGATGAAATAGTGCCATATCTATTGAACAAAAAAAAAAAAGGAAATCAATGGAATTCAAAAATATTTGGCCGGTTATAAGGCTAGTTTCGAGCATAACTTTTTTAATGGGTAACTTTTTTTTTAAAGTTTTTAGGTGACTTAATTTTCATAGGGTTAATGTAACTAACTGCATTTTACTATGGTAAGCGGTTTAAAATTTCATACTTATTTAGTCACAGGTCTTTTTCTTCTACGCAAAAGAAAGTTCTTTTATAGTAAAAGCAAGTGCTAATTGTAGCAGAATCGTAATTAGTTTATATATGTGCATCTGACTTTCATCCCAGCTTGTTTAAAAAAGATTTTACTTTTCATAATCAATAATTTTAATCTACTCTAAAAAGTAAGTAAATATTAAAAGATTAATCAAATCTACAAGTACCCACTTTTTTAAATATCTATTATATATAAATCCGTATAGTCTTTCAGTTCAATATAAAAACTACTAAAGACTTTACGTTTGGGTGTTGATTCGTTATATCAACTTTAAGCAAATTCAAATAAGAAAAATTATCGCTCAATTCGAAAAACCAACTAAAAAACAAATAACTTTTTTAGTAAAGTTTTGTATATATACCATAACAAAGCGGAATTACTATAAAATTTTATAAAAATTTCTGTTCAAAACTAATTTGTTAATTAATTTTAATTTGAAAAATATAAACACTTTAAATTTACAATAAAATTTTTATAACAATATGTACTATACATAATAACTAAATTTCTAAAAATGAAAACACTTTACATTAAAAAGCTACATAATTCCAATAAAATTAATAATAAACTTATCTAAAACCGCGAACTCTTTTACTATTGAAAAAAGCTTATCGAAAAATATATGGAATCTCACGCCACTCGAATGGCAAGAAAAAAAAAATTAAAAATGCTCCCAACTATTTTTTTCGAAAAAAGAAACAATCAATTAATATATATAAAAAAGATAAAATATAATAATTTCAGCTAAGTAAAAAATCATTTTTTCACTTCATAACAATAATTAGCGGGATCAATTATCTATGGAAATTATTTGTAAATGTAAATACTCTTCTCTCTCAGTATTATATAGAATCTAAGCAAAATTGAAATAAATCTTAAGCTTGCAATTATTTTGGGACTGTAAAATGTTTCAATTTTAATTCAAGTTAACTTAACAAAAACAAAAGGTCTTACAATTTGCAAGGTAAGAAAAAAAACATATAAGATCTCAACTTTATAAAATTCATAAACAAAAAAAAAAATTGCTGAATGGCAAAAAAAAAAATATATAATTTCTAAAAGAGTTTTTTTTTATTGACTAAGCAAAGCGAAACTGAAGAGGTGAAGTGAGCCTCAAAAGTTACAAAAGAGTACAAAAAGATTTCTGAACGGGTTTGCTACAAGCACGAATAGCAGTTTCAAAAACTAAGTTTACATTTTCATTATTTTTTGCGGAGCACTCAACATAAGCGACCTGTAAATTTTATTTTTAAAAAATTAAAATGTTAAAAAAATAAAAATTATTTTATTTATTACTATCAGCCAAATAAGTAAAATTATACATTCAACTTGTCAGCAAGTTGTTGTCCTTCTTCTCTAGAAATGCATCCCTTCTCAGAATCCCGCAGATCAACTTTCAAAGCGCACAAGACAATGGGCTCGTTAGGGCAGTAGTGCTTAACCTTAAAAAAGAAATTTTCTGAACGTAATCAAAACAAATTAAAAATAATTTTTGCCTCAGCAATCCATTTAGGTTCAATGTTTTCTAAAGAGTCTCTCATATCAACGGCAAAGCATACTACAATGCAGTCTGTCTCACAGTAGGATAATGGACGCAAGCGATCATACTTTCTATAAAGTTAAAAAACTTCAAAAAATAGTAAATAATTTAGTTAACTTCTTCTTGTCCTGCTGTATCCCATAATGCTAGCTCGTAATCTTTGCCGTCACAAGAAACTTCACTGACATGATTTTCAAAAACGGTAGGGACATATTCTTCGGGAAACTTGTATTTTTTTTCAATGTTAGTTTTAATTAATATACGCACAATTTAATAAAGTATTTTTTTCCCACCTTTTTTTGAACATAAACAGTCAAAAGACAAGTTTTCCCACAAGCGCCATCGCCCACAACCACAACCTTAAGATGGGTTTTCTTTCTACCTTTTTTATCCGACATACTTTCTAAACTTTACAAAAGTAGAAGTAAAAAGCTAACTCAAAGTTTTTCTACATTAATAAAAAATAATTTATAATAAGAAAGGATACTCCCAAGTTGCAAGAAGTAAACAAAACGCTAGGGTTCAAAGGAGCGACAGTGACTGAGTCGTAAAAATAGCTGCAAGAAGTACCGCAGGTTGGCAGATGACTTTTTAAAACCATTTTTCGCATCCATAAAAATTATACCAATAAAACCTCTGAGTGTTCCGCATATTATAATTTAAATGCTAAATTAACTAAAACTGACCCAGATTACTATTTTTGCAATAATTCGGTGTGCAAAAATTGTGCTTTTTTTTAAAAAGATAACCAATAGAAAATTATAGTATTTTATATAGGAAGTTTATGAAATTTTCACTTAACATAACATATGTGTTATTCTTACAAAAAACGTTCTTTAAGCTCCAAAAGTAGAAAGATTATTGTTATTAAGAGATAATGGGTATTTTTTGCATGCTTTGGGGATTTCTCACAAATCTATTATTGGTAGTTAAGGTGTATATACAGCAGATCGGTTTTTATTAGTAACCCCCCAAGATCAAATTTGTGATTAATTATCCCAATAAAAACAGAACATATGCTTTATACAATTTATTAGGTTTAACTTTCATTTAATAATCAAACCATAACTTGATTTTAACTACAAATGTTACTTAAAAAATCATTATAAATCAGGTAATTTGGGGCAGTTCTACAGGTTTTAAGTTTAGCGTTAAGTTAATGAGGAATTTGTTAATCGTATTTATGGATAGTTCAGCGTCTAGTATTTAAAATGCTTCTTTATTTTACAGCTTTTATATATCTTTTTATCCAACCACTTAATATATTTTGAAAGTAATATCTTTTCTTTTAATGGGTAAGATTATCTCCACACCAAAAAAGGAATGCTCTAAGGTTTGGTGTTATATACTCCGTTTCACGCGTATATAAACTCAGCGGTTAAAACGCGTTGTAATCGCAAACGCAGGAGATTTTCTAAGAGGGCGCAATCACACCCTAATGGTGCACTATGTACACAACACTACTTTATTATTGTTTACTTTTATAAATTAACTTAAAAGCTAAATTATCCGAAAAATGGAACATCAATGTTTACCTTCGATATCTTGTTACTAAATATTTTGTTAGTTACAATCTCAAAATCGTTTTTAATACTACTCTACTGTCTTAATGTTAGTATTCTACGCAAAAAAATAGTAAAGCACAAAAAACTGCTCTAAATTTAGTTAATGCCTTCAGATTAGTGAGAACGTACAGATTTTTAAGTTACTAAAAACTGTAAAGCAATAATTTTTTTTTGTTATAATAGTTTTTTGGCCACTTTTGTATGCTGTTAAACAACAATAAAAAATTTTCGTTACTTTTACTAAAAAAAGTTATTGGCATGATACCTGAAACTTGGTAACAAAACCTGATTGTAGAATGTGAAAATGGATTGACTTAACTACGATAAATTTTCATACAGAACTAGCTGTTTTTTGTTTTTAACTTTCTTTAGAGATGTGTACGAAAGTGTATCTAACAGAAGACCTACCTAATTGCAGGCAAGTGTTATGACTTTAGTCAGGATACTTATTTTGGAGTTTGGTTGCCTTCTATTTGGGAATTTAAACTACTTGTGGGCACGCTTTTAATATTATAGTTATATTATTTAAAAGTTCTACCCACCAAATCAATTTTAATCTCTGGTGCAACCCAGGATGTTAATAAATCACTAATTTTTTCTAAACCTATTCTGCTAACAGGTGCTATAGTTTAATCTTAGTGAACTATGGAAGGAAATTTGGAAATAACACTTTTTAACTCTTTATGGAATGTGAGGGTATATCCGCCCTAGGGTTTTGCAAATTATAAGCGAGTTGGGCACGCGCCAGCCAGATTTTTTTCTATTGTATTTACTCGCTCTTAGTTTGAGGGCAAGGCTCTCGGGAGAGTTAAGGATTCAAATAAGTTACCAAGTTTTTTTAGATCTTCGACTTTCTTATATCAAATATATAAATTTTTTATAAATAATATACTAGTTCTCGAAACTATTAGTCTGTGAAATAAACACTAAAAAAAATATATTTTTGACATAACCGCTTAAAATTGGGTCAACCTTGAGCCGTAACACGTAGACGATGCTAGGGCCCTATATACAGCTCACCTTAATTTTTAATCGTTCTTTACAAATTATAGATGAATTAGCTGAACGCCTACCATATAATAGGCTAATTTTTTAATAATCTACTAGTGAGGCAGGGGTGTCGACTTTAATTGAATTATGTGATTGTGTATAAAAAACTTTTAAAGTAATTCTTCATTCGTTTATATAATATATACGCATAACGTATAACTTCCCTTTGTTCTTTATTTTTTTGATAACAGCTGCCCATCCTTATGTTTTCCATCAAAATAATACTGCTTAAAAAATAGGGACGGCATAAATACTACTGATTTTTATATAAGTAACATAATTTTTTGTAAAACAAGCAACTAAAATAGGTTGTTCAATCTTCAGATTAAGTACACTTTCCTTTAGTTAGAAAAGATTTTTCTTTTACTCTTACTTGTAGTTTTTGAGAAGTCTTATGTTTACCGTCTGTTAAAGGTATTCGGTACATCTTTAAAAGACCAAATCAACGAAAACTTCATTGTTGCTATTTTCGTATTAAAGAGGATTACTTTTCTTTTAATTATAGAGAAGCACGAGAGAGTCACGTCTTAATTAGCTTGTCTTACTTTTTATCAAAAAGTCATAATATAGACAGTTAAGGAGTTTATTCACTAAAAGCAAGGGACCAACTCAGGAATAACCTTTTTTTTAAAAAAAAATTTTAGCGATCTAAGGAAAACTCAATAATTAATATTTTTGCACGGCGATGATGTCTAATACACAGCAGTCCTCCGCTTAAAAATCGATTGCGTTTTCCTCTTCGGGCAAACAGCATTAATCCCTTTTCTCGGTTCATTTATCTAGTGTTTTTCCATAGGAATCCCCCACTACTCTATTCCATGACGTATTTATAGTTTAAGGGGTCACATCAGGTTTCGTAGCCTTGGCAACCCATAGTGATCTCCACTTCGTTAATAAAAGCTGATTTATAGATTTTATTTGAGACAAATGGCTCTAGCGTCCGGCCTGGGCGAAAAGTAATTGATTGATTATATCTCGAAAGAGCTTTATCCCCTCTTCGAAGGTCAATTATGTCTGTACGGTACACTAAAATTACGCTAGCTTGTTTTGACGATGCTAAACTTTAGATTAATCGCTTTGAAGCACTAAAAGATTAATAATGAAAAGATCAGTTGGCGTTGGGGGTTTATTGTTACTTCATCAAATGTTGGAGGAAAGGCTGTCAAACTAGTTCATTTCTAGTAAACAATAGGAATAATATAAAGAATCGAGCACTTTAACCTAAGGTCAACGGCCCCACAGCAGTAATGGTGTGTTTCGTTCACAAGAATTTATCGTTCTTTCCGTGGTAGAAGCACTTGTAATTTCTCTTTAATCTTATGCTCTCTAAGTTCCAGGATATAATACGGTTTAATGTCAGTGTTCTCGGAAAAATTATTATAATTTGAGAAGTTCCGTAAAATGTTTCTTTTTTAATGGCTTTTTTCGACTTCAATACAGGCCTCAGCGTTCGCTGAGTGGGAGGTGAAAAGGGGAAAGAATTAGCCTTCTTTGGAGATGCCAGCGGTTTACAAGTGCGAATAGATGACCTCAAGCAAAGCACTCACTTATATAAGCAAAAAAATTGAAATCATAAATAAACAAATGCCTTTCAAAAAAACAAAAGAGATAAAATCCGACACATATCATCTTTCATCATGAAAAAAGTGCAATACTAAAAAGAAACTGTGATAAAACACAATTTTTTATATAAGAACCTAGTTGATATATTTACAAAACATTACTCGGACAAGAACACATGGATATGTAATTTACAGCAACACTAACGTAATTCTAACCCTAACACCATCCCTAAATGTATAAAGGGCATTATTAGTAAATAATGAAAAAAAGTATATAACAGTTTAATCCAATTTACTTAAGTATTGAAGCTCATTTTTAATCTATAATATATAAGATTGTAAACATAGTAGTGTTAAAAACGTCTGCGTTTTTTGAAAACTTTAAGTGCGTCTTATAATAACTGTAGCCAATAAAGGTTAATTTATATTTAGAATAAGCATTATAGAGGTTCAAGAATTGTATGTAATTACTTGTATATCGCATCTACTACATCATTTTTGATATTAGGCATTACTTAATATGCTGTAAGCCAGTTTGTGCTTTTTCCTACTCCGCAATTTTGGCGTAGGCTTTATATGGAATATTGATAATCAAAGCTCTAATTATAGACCCCAATGTAGTTATTTGGGGACAGTATAATTTACATATTTTAATTAAATGAAAGTCGGCGCTATTCCCCACCATTAAAATTAATAGTTATCTTTAAAATATAAATAACTTGCTAATAAAGAATGGGATAAAGGTTTGGCAATACTTACAAAGGAGGATAGTGAGGGGGAATGGAATAATATAGAGTATTATGCCATGGGAAAAACAAACAAAATTAGTTTTTTTTTACTTTACAAGCTCGTTTTAAAATTTAAAAAAGTAATACAAGGAGAGCCAAGTACAATGGGCGGTATTAGTTTTACAATAGCTATTAACAGGCTGCTACTTTAAATTTTTTTTATAGCCCCTCTAAGCCCTTACCTTAATCATTTGTGCCTTTTAAGAAAGTCAAACAGTACTTCCATAACTAAGATTTATTAAATTTACTAGATTAGTGTCTATATAAAGTTTCTGTTAAGTTTTATATATATAAAAAAGTTAATTACTTTATACTGATTTTAAGTTCACGAAACTTTTAATTACTTTGTGTTAATCACGATCAGTTTCCCTGTTAATATTTTAAGTTTACATTATAAAGCTTTTCTGTATAAATCTTAAGTGTTTTTTCGTTGTCTTATTTTGACTTTATGAGTAATTGTCCATTCTTAGCTGAACGGCAGTTATAAAATTTAGTATTAATTCGTTGCAAAATTATTATAAACTTGTGGCAATATTATTTTAAATATAAACTTTCGTTTGTGTTTTGTTAGTATTATTTTTTGTTAAGAACTGCTTAAGTTTTTTTTAAAAGACATCTTGCAAATAGAATTTTTTTTTATTAATCTTGGACTAATAATTATCCTCGTTGAAGTTTTATTAATAATAATAAGAAAAAACTAATAATAAAAGTAATATTGATCATAATAGCTATTCAGTAACAATTTTAAATTCTTTTTAATTAAAAAGGAAAAAGTGACAGCCGACCGCCTTTATCGCAGGCTACAAATTATTTTATGAGTAATGAAAAACTCTTCAATTTTAAGTTAATCTTCAAGTAAAGGGGGGATTCGCAATTCAATAAAAGGCAATTTTGATATAAAACTGAAAAAGCATACAAACTTTATTATTAATAATAAAAGGTTATGATAAAAAAGATTAAAACAATTGCTGTATGACAATTTCCGAAAAGATTTGCTTGTCTACTTAATTTATGCTGAGAAAATCTAGTTGAGGGTAAAAAAATTAGATTGTCAATAAAAAATATGAAAATTAAGAAAAGATGGATTAACGATAATAATATTTTTTAAAGATAACTGATGCTTCGGAGCAGCAGCGCACAAAGCTGGTAAAATTATAATTAATAGATTATAATTATGATTTAAAGAATGCAAATTTACGATTTACAAGTTTTCTATTTGCTTCTGAAGGCCTCTTAAAGTTGTGATTCTCGATTGGTAGAAATAAATGAGCCTACAAATAAATAATAATTACTTTATTAAAAAATAGAATTATAATTTAAATATTTATTTTTTTATAAATTAAATTTTTAAAAAAAATAATTAAAAATTAAATATTAACTTCCGTGCTAAAAATATACGCATCGATATCGAACGAAAGCGAGTTTTCGTATTCAGCAAACAATAAATATAAATACTTAAGCGTCTCCGCAAGAAAAAAGGAGTCCATTCTAAGAAGGCGAAAATCATGCAAAAGTAGTAAACTTTTATAATAAACTTCTACTATAGCGAAAAAGATATATGTTTTTTTCTTAATCTAATAAACTTTTACTATTACGATGTTTATTTATATATTTTAATATGCTATAAAAAAAGTTTTTAAAAAAAATACTAAAAGCTTCTATCAGTTTTGGTCTATTTTATGCATAATGAAAAGTAAAAAAAAAAAAACTTAAAAAAAACTTCCGACCTGTCAAGCTTCGCAACAGTTTTTACATTACTCAACGCTGCAAAGCCACATGGCGTCCCACAATTTTCAATACTTTCTAAAATTTGCTTTCCCACTTCAATATAAAAAAAGCTACAATAGTGATAATAATTATATATTTTTTTGCGGAGCCAGTCAACAATCTCATGTAATGGGCAGTTAATATAATGAATTTTGTTGAAATGCTTATTGCCGCTTAAAGGTTATATAAAAATGCCAAATTATTACATATATACAAAAAGGAGATTAGCCATGTGCCGTGCGAGACATGTGGCCAACCCTTGCCCCTTCTTATGATTCACTTAAATTTAAATATTTTAACTCAACACCATAAATTCTTTCAGTCTTATAAATTTTCATATAAAATAAAGAATTAAAACCGTTTATGCTATAAACTTTTATATTTGTGAAAAATTAAAACTTTTTTCTGAGTGACTTTCCGCCAATCATATTATAAAAAAATATAAGTAACCACTTAAAGTACTGATAAATATTTTTAAAAGTGCTCAATAACAAAATTTTTAAGAAATAAAGATATTAAAAATTGCGAGACGTAAAAAAAAGGTATACTTTCTGGTGGCCTTGTAGAGATAATAAGCGCTCTCGACAAACTCTGGCCTCAAATAATAATGAGGATCAACAACAGCGCCGTGGGCCTGGAAAAGCTGCTCACAAATATAATAGCCAATAAAAAATTTGTGGTAAAAAGTATAAAAAAAGTGAACCAATGAGAATAAGGAAAAATATAGCAGTTATAAAGAATCAAATAAATCTTTATAATGAAATCAAAGCTCCAATAAAATGTAGAATAACGTTAAGCAAAATATTTAATGAAAATAATAACTTCTGGAAGAAACTGATTATTCTCCATAAAAACATAATAATAACGTTGGAAAGAAGAAACAGCTCTAGTCAAGTCGCCCGCCAATACCTATTAATAATAATATATAAACTTTTATAATATAATAAATATATATTTACTTTGTATAATACAAATAATAATTATATATAAACTTTAAATAATAATAATACTAAATTAAAAGCTTTTTTATAATATATATTATATAGAATGACAGACAAACTTGGAGGCCCGGCCAGAAGGCGCCGAGACTGTCCAAGTGTCCGCCAGGGTGCGGTTTCTAGCGAGGAGGCGTCGCAGCGAATAATAATAATTATCAAAAGTTATTATTGTTATTCACCGGATTGTCGTAGTTCACGAAAAAATACTGATCGTTGATGGAGGTGTGATTAACAAGTCCATCGTAAAGCTAAACACAATAATAATCGCAATAATAATAATTATTAAAATAAGAAAACTTGTTTGAATTGCTCGTAGAATTTCTCTTCGTTTAACAAAATATACGACTTTAGTAAAGTTTCGAAATAACTATCCGCCTCCGCGCCAATGCCGGCCCCTATATTTTATATATGATAAATAATAGTAATAATAATAATAATAATAAGTACTGTCATTATGAACTTTTCCTGTTATTACGTTAATACTTAAAGGCAATAAAGCATACGAGGACTTGTAAGAAAACAACTTGTTCATAGCCCGGAACGCTGCTTCCTATAATAATAGTATAAGAATAGAAGAAAAAGATATTAAGGTACGTGCATAGAATTCCATCCGGTCAGTCAGATGAGAAAGAGTAGCAAATTCAATAAGGAGAGAACCAGCACAAGCCAAGCAAGTGATTACAGATGCCTTGTCTGCCGTTCGCCTTTTGAGGTTCACCTTTTGGATCATAAAATTATTAATATTATTACACTGCATAAATAATATTTACAAGTAATTTACTAGAATAATATCAATAAAAAAGTTTTATTAATACAAAATAATAAGGAAAACCACAACCCAATAAAAGTTTAAAAAAAATTTAAGAAATATTATTATGAACTTTTACTTATTATGTTTAAAAAAGATAATAAAACTTTGGGATATGGAAGGCCGGTTGGAGTATCAAAAGCAACCAATAGCCTTTCTCCGAGGTCGAGAGCATGTGCAAGGAGTCCGCCTATCAAATAGCATAAAACAGTTAAAATTTATTAAGACTGTTTATAACTGCTAGAAAGTCATGAATGTAAACAAAATAACAACTTTCATGAAGTAATTTGACCAATCAGATTTATCCTAACGCGGAAAACACGTGCAACTACTGTGGAATATCTCTGTACAGTATACCTTTCTTATGATTGCAATATGTAATGGGCTGCAAATTAAAGTATACACTGGTGGACATGCAATTCAATAATTTTAATGATAAATAGTGTATGACCAATTACTGGATTAAATAAAATAAATATTAAAGTAAACAGCAAACTATAAATCTTGAAAGTTAATATATATTTCACACTTAGTCATAACCAATCAGAAATCATAAAAATTTCAATGTTTTTAATACAAAACTTTTATGATAATACCGTTATAATCTTTGAAGACACGTGAAGCCTTCAACTGCAAAGAAAGCACATGAGCAGACAAAAGACTGCCTAAAGCCCTAATAGTAACCTTTTCTCATTAAAAAATAAAATCAGTAATAGTCATTCAAAATTACAAAAATATTATGGATATAAATATAAACCAGTAAAAATGGATTATAGAAGTACTAACCAACTAAAACTTTAAAAGAATAAACCAATAAAAAAAATCATTGTAATAAAGTAAGCCAACTATTAGTAGTTTACAAAAAATGTAAACGATTGGTTCAACACTGCCAATTACAAAAGATATTTTATTTTGTCAATTTATGAAAGGGTTTAGTTAGGATGGTTATAAAACCCCGCTACCAAAGAAAACACGTGGGTAAAGAAAAGAAGTGTATACAAGCCCTCGTTAGGGTCTCAGAGTGGGCGTGTGGGATGCTGTTCCACCACGGGTGAGGGTAAACACAAGAGAAGGTAATAAATAGAATCAATGTTTCAGAATAATCATTATTAATGTTACAGCAGAAAAAAATATTTATTATTTCAGTTATTAGCCGTAAAAAAACACACAAGTTTTTATAATAAAAAGCAAATGTATGAAAGTATTCATAATTTTATTAGCGAAAAATAAAATTAATGAAAGTTGGATTGCTTTAGTCCAGAAAGTGAACGCCAAAATTTATATTATTTAATATTTTAAATAATAACCAATAACAAAAGCTCTTTTCTCTCGTTGGCACATGAGAGCAGCACGGGCATGGATTGGAAGGAAAAACAATGATTTCTCAAAACCCAAAAGCAAAGCAGGGATTGGCAGATACACCAAGTGGTCGTGAAGATCAAGTTTACAAGCCCACGTGTCCCTAAGACCAGTTTATATTATAGCTCGTAAATCTACTTCGGTACAAAAAAAAATACTTATCTGGCATACTTTTAAAAAAAACTTTTACTAAATACTAAACTTATGGAGAAGAAAAAAGTCTAAAAATTCGTGCAAACGTAAACTTTTTTATTTAATTTATTATTAGAAGGGCGCATCTACATTTAATGTAAATCCAATTATAAATTAAAATTTTATAAAAGTATAAATAGTTAATTAATTATTTTTTACTATAATTAATTATAATTATATAATAAATAATAGATGCAAGATTACTACTGAAGTAAAGTATTTGAGGAAAAATATTTATAAAAGTATAATAACAATAATACGGTTAAACTAGTTAAGAATTTTTTTAAAGTTTATAAAAGATTATTACAGTTAATAAAAAACGTCACTAACTTTATATAAATGTTAATAAAAATAAAATTGAGAATTATAAATAACAATTAACTTAAAATTAACATAAAAGTTTCTTATGATAATAACTTTAAAATAATGGGACAAAATTTAATATGAATAACTAATTATAACTAGTTAAAAAAAATAATAATAAAAAAGTAAAAAAATGAATTAATTTTTAAAAATAATTAAAATTATAAAAAAAATTATTTAAATATTAAATTTTAAATCTATTTTTTGTGAAAATTATAAATTCGTAAGGATATAAACTAAAATATTAAAATAAGCTACTTAAAAAATATATATATATTTGAAAAATATTTGATAATTTTGCTTCATAATTATTATCAGTAAAAATTTTCAATTTAATATTCTTTATATTTAATATAAAAATAGAAGTCTCACACTTGTAGAGTAAACTAATAATAAATTAACTTTATTATTTAATTATTAGATTAAATCCTTCGTAAAGAAGAATTTATAAATATATTATAAATAAAAAGTTATAAATAAATTAATTTCAAAAAAATTTTTATAAATGTGCTTACTAATAAAAAATTAAAAAATTTTAAATTAATAAAAATTACCTCGAAAACGGAAACATTGAGATCAGCGTCGTATCGATTATTGTTTAAAACAAGTCTAACTCCATCCATAAACTTATCGTTTTCCCCCATAATCTTTAAAAACAATAATTGTTAAGCAAAATCTCAAAAAATTAACGGATTATGAGCATGAGTTATTATACTAAACAGCTCTATTTAATTAATCAAGTTAAACTTATTTTACATATATTTATCACTATGCGACGATCCAATAAATTAGATTATCTTAATTAAATTAATTGATTAAAGAAATAACCAAAATTATAGGAAACTACACTACATTACGTACCACTAAAGTGTCCAAGCTTTCAATCAACGTTAAGGAGAAGCTAAAAATTAATATATTGACTTAGAAAAATAATATATAAAATCATTATAGTAATAGCAATGAACTAAAAAGAACTTAGCGAGTCCGCAAAAACTAAATCCCAAATTAAAAGGTTAAGCTAATACTCGCCCAAACATGAATCTACTTCTCCTCTGTTATCTTCACGACCTCTTTTACGACCTTTACAAGAAAGAGGCATCAACTCATCATCTGGATATCCATAGTTCTGTGCAACAGATAAAAAAAAATCTTAGATTTAAAAAGTGTATTAGGAATGAAATTTTTGAAAACACAAAAGTGGTTTTAAGCAAAAATACATACACTGCTAGGTCTGAATCTTAAAATATGTACTTATTAATTTTTTTAACATGAAAACATAAAGTCTTTAGAAATTTTTAAAAGGCTTGGTAAAGACAAAATAAAATTCTTTATTACTATGGTTAGAAATGTTAGAAAGAAGAAGTAAAAACCAGGTACGAGTCGTAAGCAAAACTAAAATATCCGGAAATACGCTGGCTATAAGATAAATTGGAAATCGGTGATGAAATGGGAAAAGATAGAGAGATCATGTAGCACAAAAACCATAAAGTTTTTATTTTTATTAGAAAGTGTGAAAGGTCTGTGTTTACTCAAGAAAGGCCAACTCGCGGGGAGCGAAGATATTACTGCACACACCAGTGCATCGAGTGTATGACTTTTGTGGTGTTGTACTATATTTTGCATGGCGGCGGCAGAAAAGTAATCCGAGTTTCCATGTTATGTAGCATTAACAGGTACCTAGTAGTACACTTGTAGTTCCACAATGAGCCTAAATAAGCCGTCTAATTCAGTTGGGAAAAAAAAGTTCGAAGATGGGATTGTTTTCCGCGATTTTAACATCGAATGAGGCACCAGTTTTTGTTTGTAGAAGGCGTTGGTTCTAAGCCAGTATTGTAAAGATTGTGCAGCCAGGGGGAAAAATTTATTTTAGAATGTTATTTTAATCAATTTCATCCTTATTTCAATACAGAGTATCCCATAAATTCAGAGTTGAGAGCAGATTTCATAAGCAAAAAGAAAAAATCTGTCTATTCAACAAACATTTTCCAAGAGGGCGAGTACTAACCATATTTTAAGACGTTTAGCTCCTTGCTAGGAAAAAGTTTATTGTATAGTTGAAGAAATAGTTAATACAGGTATAAAAACTTGTGCCAAAACCGTAGCAATTCTAATAATTCTAATAATGGCAGATCAAATCGCCCTTTCAAGAAATACTGTTATGAGAATAACCGAAGAAATGGCAGACAAATACTTTAACGTATGATTGCGTGCTCCTAATATTTTCTTGCTTTGGACGAGGAGCTGCGAATTGAATGACACTGCACCATTGTGCATTTATATGCGTTGTATTAGTGAACAATTCGAATCACAGAAAAACTTCTAGATATACAGAAGCTAATTTCTAGTAAAGAAAAGATGTTAACCGTGAAATGAATGTAGTTCTGTCAATCGTTAAGTAAACTGGGATAAATTGGATAGGGTTTGTACAAATGGAGCTTCAGCAATGAACAAGAAGGTAAAAGGTTTTTTAAGTTTGTTAAAAGAATTCTTATAACACCAAGTTTTTAAATACTACTGCATTATTTACCAAGAAGCCCTCTGTGCCAAGGGTGTAACTTTTTTCTTTTTTTAATCTTGTGATACGTTGTACCAACCACATTCGATCCAGGGCTTTTCATAGAAGAGGAAATTCGTCAATTTTTTTCACAAGAGCAAATGAAGTAGAAGAACAGCTTGAATTGTTACTCCATTGCACTCTTCGTTGGCTACTAAAAGCCAATATCCGAAAAAAGACTCTGGGACTTACAAATAATAATTCAGATATCTTAGCATACGAGACTCTTTTATTTTGTTTTGCAGTACTGACATTATTGACGGAATTGTAACGGAAACATAGAAAAGCTGCCCATTAATTGGAACGAGAAAAGCCCGAATACATCTAAAAATTATACTCTTGTCGTTACTATTGAAATTAAAGCTTTTATCGGGCTTCTTCTTACATTAGAGACGCCGTATTATTTTAAAAATCTATTGACAAGCTTTGATGTTACAATATAGCTTCTAGTCATCCCAACTAACCTGCTATCTTGGCAAGAGACAGATACAAAGAATTTACAATTTTGTTGCGAATTGAGCTACGAGAGAAGCGATAAAGAAGTATTAAACTAGCAATAACCAAGAAAAGTGTTTAAAAGTTTAGTTTCAGATTCTAGAAAAAATTTAAGCTAAATTTACATCTATGTGGATGTAAAACTTGTACATTGAGGAGTAACCTTGTTAAGTATGGTATCACGATATGAACCCTTTCTGACTGCGAGAATTTCTGTACATCAACACGCAGATCTACTTGGGCGAACTTTGTTTATAACTAAGCGAATACGTATTACATAGGCTTCTGCTCAGGGAAACAAGAAAGTGCACCAAAAAAAATTAGGGATTAAGGGTGGTGCTAGATATGTTACAGCATTTACCGCAAGGTAGTAATGTAGCCACCGATTATTTCTTTACCAATATGCAACTTGCTGTTTCTGCTTTCCCTAAATTACTGAAAATTGTCTAAAAACAAGCCAGAGCTGCAAATGATTGTAGAGAACGAAGCTATTATATGCCTAAAAAAAAGCTCGAAAAATTAAAAGAATATGCGTGAAGTATACTAATTTTGTGTTTAAAACTATATATTACCAATTTAAAACAATAGTTTGTATAAATCTTATATACTATATTATGGTAATTAAGAAATTTCTTTTTTTCATAACCAATTTCTTACGTACGGACAACGAGCACATGACTTTGTTGTAAGGTCCAATAGTTTTAAAAGTAGATTTTCCATTTGGCTTGACTAGTGGCTACTAGCTTGAAAATATTGTTGTGCTTCCATCTTTTTGTCTTAACGGAATGGTAGGATTCTTAAGGAGTCGTAGACTACCGTATAATACTAACTATATATAATTAAATTATATAATTAATTTTACTTATGCTGGTCAGAAGAGTAACTTAATGACCCAGCTGTAGGGATTTACTTAATAATTTTTATTTGATTTATCCTACTTTAGGTCAGCTATGACTTAAAAAAGTTTAACTTAACTTACCGGTTATTCTACCTAGATCATTTATAATTTTTTTTTTACCTCCCTTTTTATATAGACTAAGTTTTTAATTTAAAAATGTAGTTTTGGTAAATAAACTCTCTTGACAACTGAATATTTTTATATGACTTGTTTACCGATACTAAGACTTTTGGGTTAAAAAATTACTAAGCAACTGAAGTAATTAGTTAGAAAAAGATGGACCAATAATTTTTTTTTAATACTTCCAAAGCAAAGTTTAAAGTTAACTCAAATTCCGCTTTTTTTTTTTGCTGTACGCCCTTCTCCCCTAGCACTAGACCTTACTAGTTCAGTTCAAGAGTATGTTAATACCCATAAACTTGGTAGATAAGCCTTAATAATATCAGCTAACCAAACCCCTGGCTCCCTATCCTTTTTTGCCCTTTTCTTAATATACTAAAAGATTAAACAATGATTTCCGACAAAATACAATGGAGTGAAAGCTTCTTGTTTATTTTCCAACAGATTTGACTCTTTATATTTGTTAGTACGCTAATTAATATTTTTTTTAACTCAACTAATGAACACAACGAAACTTAATTATAAGAGCTCATATTATAATGAAAGCGGCTAAAACTACCCAACACTGTGTATATCCGTAGAGAGCAACTGCAAAAGAAAAATTAATACTGCAACACCACTTTATTAACTCACCCGGCATCACCGCGAGACAGTTCCTCTGATACGAAGGGTCAAGTGTCCAAATAATCTTCTGTGTCGACCCTTCGAAAGTCGCAGGTCTACGCTTCCTGCCCTACTTTCCCGTTGACACTGGAGATATTATAGATCACTATTGCTCCTATTACTACCACAAGAGCCGCCAGCGCGCCAGCTATATAGACCTGTCTCCTACGGTCCACACCCTGGAGCTTCACTGGCAACTGCTAAACATAAGACGTTAAAGGGGTTTGAGCTGTTGGCTTTGAGAACCAGCAAAATACCTTTAAATTGTTGTCATACCCCTCTTCTAGCACTTTTTTTTTGGAGGTTAAAGCCTGGCTTACTTGCACCTTTGATATGCAGCAAATATGCACTTTTATTGATTATAAAAAGTAAACAAAGTTAATAAATGCCCGGACTTTTTTGTTGTCAGTAGAGTGAGACTTTAGTACTTCGTTCAATTTACCCTTTGACGTATTCGTCATCAAGCGAGAGGTATTACACACCTCCAAAGGAAACTTATCAAACTTTACTAGCTCCCCGTGATGGCTGCAAGTGGACTCAGCATAGTTAAGAATTTGGTACTGCGCGCGTGAGCAGCAGAGAAAAGTGTGATCTAAAGTAAGAATCCTGTGAAGCAAGTGAGTAGCCAGAGTAAAGCTCAAGTCAAGAATAAAGACACACAGGTAGTTATAGTTGAAAAGTGGGCTGAAAGCTCCAAGCCCGATCTCTGTAATCGTATTTCCCAAGAGATACCTAACAAAAACGAAAACATACTGCAATCCGAGAGGCAGAGAAACACTATACTTAGTCAAAAATACATTAAAATGGAATACTTACAACGCAGTCAGCTTATCTAGCTGAAGAAAGGAGCCTTTCGGAATCGACCGGATTTTGTTATCGTAAAGATATCTATTAAGATAACTACATTCAGAAGGTACTCACCGAAAGAAGTAAACTGCTTTCGTTAAAATAATTACTAAGCTTCTATATGTAAAAGGTAAGGAAGTTGCAATAAAGATAGCTACAAAGAAAAACACTCAACGAAAAGTAGCTCACTAAAAAAAGTGTAAAAAATTGCCGCCTGCGAGATAGTGAAGTCAGGAGCGCTTATATAAAGGTTAACAGGCAACGTAAAGTTTATGGGGACTTACAAGGTATTTAAATTAGAAAGCCCTGTGAAGCAGCTTGGATTAATAGTAGAGAGTCGATTATGCCCAGATGCCTTTAATAACAATTCAAGGTGAAATAGATTGTAAAACAACTCAATAGCGACAACTTTTTATAGCATAAAATGCATATTACAAAAGAGTTAACTCTTGCAGTTCATTAAAAGCTCCTGGTGCTATCATTTCAATAGAGTTATTAAACAGGTATCTTTATAAAATAAAGATTTAAAAATACTTAAGGTATCACTTGTTTACATAAAGCCAGCAAAAAGAGATGTTATAAAAAACTAAAATAGAGTGCCCACCAACAAGACTTACAAGGTCTTTAACGCTGCCAGATGCCGGAAGTAGAATTCATCAAGGGACGAAAACCGGTTGCTGTGGAGCCCCCTTCGTCGTACAGATTAGATAAAAATCAATAATGAAAAGTATATACTTTTATAGTCGCAGTTTGAAACCAAAGTAAAACATAGAGTAATAGTCGGTAACGATGTTTTTTTACAAGACCATAGTTATGTAAAAACTTTACTAGTAAAACCTACTGATTCACACCGCAATTTTACGCTTAAAATAAATTTAGTAAAAGAATAAAAGGTAAACCTTTTGTGTATTTTCTCTTTCTTAATTTTATATGAAGTTTGTAAATAAAATTTTTACTAAAAAATTATATAAGTGATCAAGCGTAAATCATGATTTAGTTAAAAGCAAAAACTTATTTTATAACGAAATTAGTTATAACTGAATGTTAGAAATAGTTCTAAATCCAAGTTATACTTGGATGAAACGAGTCCCTTTTTTTAATACAAAATAATAAAACTTTTAAACTATAAAGGCCTTTCCATTTTAAAATCAAAAGGATAGCCAAACAAAAAGCCCATGTAAGAAAATCTTACAGAGCTTCCAAATTAACGAAAGCTTTAAAGAAATCTTCGCCGAAAGAGGAAAGCTGGTTTCCTTCTAAAGCTCTGTAGAAGCAACAAAGAACATGAAAATTTTCTGAGAAATGCTGCAATCAAAACACGAACGCGTAAAAAAAAACCTAACGGAAGTAGAGCAGTTATCTATACAAAATATTCATTCGCACTAATTTACTAAATTTATATAAAACAAGTAGTGGCGTTGTTCCTTGCGCAGTTCCTTATAATATACCCAACCTACTAATTTACTACAAAAAATTTATATGCAACACATATCTTGCTCAACTAGATAAAGCAATCTAAAGTTAGTTTAACTACAAGTGAAGTAGAATATATTTTAATTCTAAAAAAAACTTTCTACAACAGTTTATAACGAATTACAAGTAAAGTAGATTTGTTAAGTTTAACCGCGAACTGTAAGATAAAGACTTGATGTAGTTTCCTTGCAAAAACCTATAAAATATTCAAAGTTAAAAAAAATAATATAATGAAAGGTTCTTATTTTATGTCGTTATTGGTGTAAAATCTGTCATTTTGTGGGCTTATATAAATAAGGAGCCATCTTACTTGAAACTTTCTAATAAGAGAAGTATAAAAGTAACTAACAAGCCTGTTAGCTGAGCAAGATCCTTGAAAACGTCAAAGTTAAGCGAAGTAAGTCGATTGTAAGCCAAATCTCTATTAGAGGAGTTAAAAAGGATGCCTTTTAGAGACAAACAGATTGCTTAAGTAAACTCGTTACTACTAGGATAACTTAGTAAGCCACCTATATTTTACAACTCTATTATTAAAATATATCTAGCATATACATTGTTAACAATAACCCAAGGAAAGGCCTGCATAATCTTACTAAGTTTTTCGAAAATAGAGACCAGATTAATAATAATAAAAAGAAACAGCTAAAGCATAAATAAAAGTAAATCCAAGAGTACAGAAATTGAAGATCCCTGAGACCGTCTAATAAGCCGTCTTCAATCTCACTGAGACTGTTGCTGGATAACGCTCTTAAAACGGAAACGAGTCAAAAAGAATTTATTAGAAAAAAAGGTTTCAGAGAAGTTGAATTTTTAAGCACATCACAACTATAAGAAGTCAATTCTTGAATACAGGCCTGGTTGGGCGTAAATAACATGGAAAGTTTTATTAAAAAGTGATGAGTCCCTTCAACTGCAGTCTGCGTCGTACAGCATGACGACATAGGAAGGTTAGCCTAAGTAAAGCCTAAGGCTAAAATCATGCTAGCACAAGGTATAAACAAGGGACCTTTCCATATATATTAACCACTAAAATTCAAAATATTTTACTCTTATATAAAGCAAAAAGCTGAGTTACAAGGTTGTAAGTTTGTGGAGGACTGTAAATATTCTCTTTCCCAAGAAGGTGAACTGATTTTGATTCAAGACTCTAACCAATGGATACAGATTAATGTTGAAGTAAAAAAAGGTATAGCTACTTACAAATTTTCAAGATTTTTGGAATTATTGAAAAAGTTTTCAGCGAGCGAGGTAAGCCCATTTTTACTCAAGTCTCTTCAAAAAAATACATGTTAAAAATATTAACAAAATCGACGAACTGAATGCCATAAACCCCAAAATATTAATTCTTTTACTAAATTAAACATTATCACTCGAAGTCAACGATAAAGAACTTTCTCAACTTGAAAAGGTATAAAGCACAAATGGGCAAGTGTATGACAAAAAAAAACTCCTATCGCCAAAGTTAATAACAAAACATTACTTGAGTAAATATAAAAAGATATAGTCTCACTCACATACAATGAGGTGTGAAAAGCATATTACTTAAATCAGGGTAGAACCTAATTTAAATTAATGTGGGCTATTTATAGTAAGTAATCCATTTAAATTTTATAAAAGGTTTTACTTAACACCAATATTTTCCATGATAATTCACTTCTAGTTATAAGTTAGTATTTTTTGACTATGACGTCCAAGCCGTATAAATTTGTCTTAAGAACTAATAAAAAAACAAATTTGTCCTTATCTTGCATGCCTTCAACATTTTATTAAGTGTCCCTCTTACTAATTTTGCCATCCTAACATTTAATGTTAATACCACACTTTAATATGAGTTAGCATGAACATAGTACGCTTTACCCAATATTCACTTTCTAACCTGTAAAAAATTTTTGTATGGTTAGGCAAAGTGCTAATAGTTTGCCTAGTACCATTTAGTTTTCAGTACAATTTATTTTTGTATTGTATTAACTAGTTCCCTCCGCTTAACAAAGCCCCTTCAGCTACAATTTCATCTTGTAAAAGTTCGACAGGTTGCTTGGTCGATTACTTAAAACATATTATAAAAACTAATAAAAATGTTACTACAGTTAATATTACTAATTCAAAAAGCCGTAGAATATAACCTCGGAGGTCATCAAATAACAGAAACAAATAGATTTTAACGTACAGCGAATAGACTAACAGTTTTTACTTCAATCAGTAGACGCTACGGGTTTCCTAACATTTAACCGAAGCTTACAGCTTAGTCACCAGCAAAAAATTCAACCACAAATTAATAGGGATAAATATGGTAAAATATTTCACGACAACATGCCACAACTTTAAGTGATTAAGTTTGTTTTAAAGCTCCAGTCAATTATGTTTAAATGGACAGTCAGAAAAGAGTCACCATACCCACGGTAACTTACCAGTAAAAGTACCTTTAAAAAACATATTATTTAGGAAATGATGCTAATGACATTCAAGCTTACAAAATTAGTAAGTTAGAAGAGAGATGGTCCTTCGTTAAAACAGACACTACATAGGGGCACTCCGACAGATACCTAGTTTAGGTTTTTATTTTTAATAGGTGGATATAAATAGCGAAGTTATTCAAACCAGTGCCTTGAAAAAATTCTTAAATTAGTCAAAATATTTTACGGTAAGTAACACTGCTACTATTAGGTTGCTTTTTGCATATTTTAAGTACGCTATTAACTGTCTATTTTTCACTAGTTTGATGATGACTCTAGAAGCTTCAAAAACTAAAATTTTTGGTCTACGGTTTTACGTCAACCAATAAAAGTTGCTAATCGTATGTGTTTAATAACTTACAAATAAGGGCTCTTGAAAGGGGGAGTTGGGCAACCAACTTGAGAGGAAACCCCCCTGAGAATAGCCAAAAGAAACTTCAAAGAAAGGAAAAAACTCATCAATCCGAGGCGAACTTGAACTGGAGAGTAAGTTGACGAAATATTTGCGGTGGCTCTTAAAGGCCTTTTATACAACTTTTATTAGAAAATATCTTACCGTTAAATCACGAATGGCAATTTTGAGGATATAATAATTACTATTAATCTTATAATTCTTATAATGTTGAAATGTAGATACTATTTTACTTCTACTTGAAGTTGTTTGTATACAACACAATAGACCTGGAGGTCAGATCCTTTAAAGTTAGCTTTGTCTCAGTAAGTTTTTTCTAATACTATGAAAAACCTACCAGGTATTATTTATCGCTCATAATTTAAGCTTTTTCCAAGGCGTGAACATATAATTAGTTAATTAAAATATTGCGTTAAATACTTGTTAATTCAGTCCTACCGTAAATTTGTAAATAGCAGAGCACGCACATTAACACATTAGTTTTTTAAAATCTTCTGATCTAGTGCATAATAAAACCTAAAATACTTTATATATAGATACTTATTTAATTCCATTCATAAGTAATTAACGCAATAAAGTATACTTTTCTGTAAAGGTAATACGTGCTTCCATTTATCCTCCCAACAATTTACAAAGGCGGTGGTCTTTGAACGCTAGTAAGAAGCTTTCTATTTATTAACGCCCTTTTTTTCAGATTGTAGGTTTTTAAAATACACTATCAGGCTTCCACCTTGATAAACGCCATACACTTAAAAATTAAATACCTAGAATAAAATCTTGAAAGTAAATCAATTAAATAGGCGTTATTATTAACAAATCGCAATTTTAAGTAAGCAGTTAAGCACATTTGTTAATTTAATATTAAAAATGCAAAGTATAGATATGAATACATAATTGGAGTAGTTAGGTATGTTTGCTTCTAATACTATTCTAATAAGTTAACAACAAACCTGATAGCTTTCATGTCACAATTTTTGTTATCAGTGGTATGATGGTAGGCAACGATGATTCTTATCCAACGTTTATTAAAAATGCAAACTTGGCTTTCTTGTTGCTTTGGTTATAATTACAATTTTATAATAAATGTAGGGCTTAATAATTTAATACTTATTGACCTCCATACATTTACCACAAAAATTTGATTAGTCAGTTAAGATTTATGATACGTAAACTTTTGTAAAATAATATATCTACTAAAATTACTGTTCATTAAGACCCCTAATAATTAATGAATCGCCATGTTTAGCATTTACTGGGCTAGTTGTAAAGACTAGTTGCTTTTTTGTACAAGAATGGTTGAACCATAAGCGTGAAAGCTTACGATTCGTCAGGTGTTACGCGATTTTTTTAGCAGAAACACATCGCCGGAAATAAGTTGTTTTCCGCACAAAAAAAATAAGCTACTCTTTTGTTACGAATTACTTTATATAGTGTTTATAATATGGGTGGTGTTAGTGTTCAAGCGCTTAATTATATAAGTATGGCTCGCGCTTTCCCGTAGTTTTTTTTTTTTAATTTATTTTGTTTGTTGTGCAGTTGGGTTTGGTGCGCCTGAGGGGTTTATAATAATCATAAATTACAATGCTTTTTAGTACTTCGACTTTTTTAATTTATAACACTTTATAAATAATTCTTGCCAACGAATTGTTTTTCTTCAGTAGTATATTATTTTTTTATATTTTAAACCGATTTATAATTAACTTTTTTTTTAGTTTACTTAAGTTGTAGATCTCATATCCGTTTGTAACAAAATGTTATAATAAAAATAAAAACCAATTATTTTACTTAAGCTTGGTTAGTAAGAGTACTTAGTAACATTTAGCATGTCCTACGTGCTCTAACATATCTTTTTGACTAAGTATTAGTATTGTAGATATTTTCTGTATTTTAGCGTAGAGAAGAAAGCAATTATTAGCCTAAATTACTAGCGACACCGGACGATATTTACATATACACGAATTATTAACCTGTTAGAAAAGGAATGCAGGTTCTGCAATTATAACTCCTATAATATTATATAATTAAAGAAGAAATATTTATTAAATAGAAATTTTTTTATAGAAAAAATTACTAAATACATAAATTTTTGCAACATAAGCTAAAAAAATAAATAAGTTTATACGTTAGCTCACTGCCACTATATAAGAACCTAAACATGAAGATAGGTAATAGAAGGTAATAATAACCCACTTTAATAAAAATGCAAGTTTGTAAAATAGTTAATGTGTAATAGATAGAACTCTTAAAACTTTAAATTAATTTTTTTTTATTTACTTATTAGATATAACTCATATGATAACAGGTGTATTCAAAGTTACTTAGGAGAGGTTAAAATGGTTGGTAGTAAACAACACCCCTTTTTCCTTGTACAATTTTTTTTTGATGGCTATTTACGTATTTAAATAAAAATATTTATAGTTGTTTCATTGCATTATAGAAAATTAAGAAGAAGTTAAAATTTTCTTTAGAAAAGTTCAACGTAAACCAAGTAATTAACTCACAACTAAATACACCTCTCTGGAAAGTTATGACCTAGTAGAAGTTTTAAAATACATAAAAAGTTATCTTTTTTCCATTTTTTTATTAAAGCTTTGTTTATCTTTAGATATTTAGGCAAACAACCTGTGTTAACTTTTTCAACGACTTGTTTAGTTGCGTTGTACAGATCAGCTACAACGCCTAAATTATGTGAAACCTTGTTACAGCTTTGGTAATTCCATCACAGCAATTGAAAAGTAGTGAAAGTAGAGGAGCCACCCGACACAGTGAACCTTTAATTTTTAAATGTTATTAAAAATAATTGTCTGCCTTCCTATTTAGGTTGAAACTTTTTTCCTGTATATCGCGAAATGCAAGGTGTAAATTATAATATATAAATGCTTTCTCAAAATATATCATCTTTTGTGTGTAGTTCCTGTTATGGCTTATTTACCGTGGTATTTAAGTATCCATAATAAGTTCTACCTACCTTTATTTAAAATATTTAAACGAACGGTTTAATTTTTTAATTTCTGCTCTTCCATAACCCGGTCATGTGGCTGAAAGGTTAGAATTCGAATATTACACCTCTTCTTTTTCCATTACTAAAATTACATAGCCCTTCCGTTTTAGATGGAAGATTGAATTATGTATGAGTATTATATGAGACACCAATTATGGTACGAATTTGTCATACGGGAAGTTAACCCATTTCCTTCCTCGTACAGAGCATCAGGCCTATCTAAGACAACTATAAATGCCAAGCTAACTAAAAACCTCGATTAAGTTTTTAGCCGGGTTAGATATCGAAATTCTCAATTATTATTTTTTTTTAAACTTTTTTTTGATAATAACTCTAACACTTTTGAACCAACCGTGAATCTCAAGTTTAATAACTACAAAAGAAAAATATTAATTTTAAAGATTAGAGCATTAACTTTGGAATAGAGAACATTTTAAGGGTTTAAAAGTAATGTGATGCTTTTCTTTTAATACTTATATATTAAGGATTAAACAAAATAAGGCTTTATATTAACTCGCTGTAAACATCTAGTTTATCAACAGTCATATGCGTTTTAGGGAACTAATCAAGGAAGCGGATAGACAGAGAAGAAACACATCGCTACTCTTTGTGGCGAGGGTGTATACGGAGGACGCTTAATCTGTTAGAGAAATTCTCAGGTTAACAAATACAATTAGTAATTAGTAAGTGAACCTCCGTTTTGCTCTTTGTACTTTAATTTTTTAAATCGAAATATCTTAATGCTTTTATCTCCTTAAAAAGGCCAATATATGTACATAAGTTAGCTTAACGCAATATACTGTGCACGTTCGCTTATTTTAACATTGTAAAGCAAAAAATATTAGGTTCTGAGGGGACCCCAATTTAACTCTTTTTTAACACCACCGTGAGCTAAGCATTTATAGTAAACAAGAGCACAGTTCCCTAATAAATTCACTGTGGATATGTGACTGTTCTAAAATCTAAGTCTGAAAAAATATAATTTAGACAAAAAGATTTTTTAGAGCTCTACTATATACTTCCATAATCTCTATATAAACCACTAAATACACGTATTACCTTTTGAATTATTAATAAAGTGGGCGAATGTTACTTAACTCTCCATTTACTATCTAGAGCCTCACCTACTGCGCTCTGTACTGTACAGTAGCACGTGCTATCCTTATAATTAAAAACCCTTAGAGCTATAGCTAAAAAATTGTTTCTTGGTAGTACTGCAGCGGGTATGTCAAGAGGAACTGGTTTTTTGTAGTTTTTATAGAAATATTTTCATCAATAATTAATTATTATCAATATTAAATAGTATTGAAAATATAAAGAAATGGATGAAGCCCAGCTTGCCCAATTTTTATCTCTTCAGTTAGGAGGTAAAAAAAAAGACCCCAAAACACTGCAAAGGTTAAACCTTTTGTAAAATATTTATCGTTTTTTATATTTTTTAGTAGTTATAAAGAAGTGAATTTGTTTTTTAAATACGCTTGTATATAAAACACTTAAACTTCGTAACTTTTTTTAATATTTATTAAGCTTATATTAAAACCAAGTTGCTAGACAACTTATATAATTTGTAGGATTGAGCAAAAAAATTTATTTTTAGTAGACACCACATAAACTGTTATAGTCTTATTTAAGCTATGCGAAGGGCGATACTATAGTTTTCAGAAAATTTGACTTGCATAGTTATTTTTCTTATTCCTTAACTTTTTTTAGGGAATTCTTTCGGAATTCTTTACTTTTTGGTGTTAGCGCTTTAGTAATTCACTTTTTTAGTGAAGTACTACTTTAGTTAAATTACAAGAACCGAAATTTATAGTTGCCTATTAAATTAATTTTTATTATCCTGAATAAAAAGTGTTTTCCTATGAAGGAATAGCTCCGGGCCTCTTCCCGAGTTTATTTTTAAAAAAATTTTGTCTGACAGTAGTTTGATTCTAAATTCTTTATAGCACTCAACAACAACGACACTTTTTTCGATTAATACAAACATAAAACTTTGATTGTGTGTGGTGCGTTATGCTAATTGTGCAAGCTTCTTGGAAAAACGCTTCCCCGTCTATCTGAGCGGCGATGCTTTGTTTAAGTTTTAAGTAAATTTGCTTTCCCTGCGCCAGCTGAACACCTTAAATTTCCGTAAAAAGATCTACATACTTTGTTATGATAAAAGATTTACAGCTACTGAGCCCAAATCTACAGCACGCTGCGTGGATCAACGACTTGAATCCCAAAATTTCAATCACTTTATCGTCCGTTCTACTCTTTATATCATTAGTGGTGGCTTTTTTTGTAAGGTTGGTAAGTAAAAAAACCTCTGCGGAAGAAAAGTTGCTTTGACGTTTTTCCAAGGCTTCGAGCCCGCCGCGTAACTTGGGATGTTGAGGAACACGATAGACTCGAGACCCGCTGGGACCGTCAAAGCGGATCCTGTAGAAAAAAGCGGTGTCTAGTTAGCGAGCGGCGATAGAACAAAATAAAAAAGACCGTCCACCACGACGTCCACGGCTTCGTGCAGGGAAGTGTTATGGAACATGCTCGCGAGGGAGTGCAGGGGGTACCTGGGGGGCCGCGTGGGTTCTTAGTCAGCGAAGGGCCGAGACTATACGGGAAGGGGAGGGACCCACCATAAGTACTTATTGAAGCACTGCGTGGCGTAGAGTTTCTTATGTGTCTCCCGTGCCTCGTGGAAACGGAGAGAAACCTTCGCATCCACCCCAAGGCTGAAGTAGTTGTTGAAGATGAGCTTCCTCGAGGGAATTTGGTCAACTTGAGAAGAGAGGATTAGTTAAAATTATAGCTGTGATAGCAAAAGTACCTGAAGGAGTTAAAGGCATCATCAGTAACTTCCATCGATCAAGATAGGCGACCGAGGCGGGATGGTCATAGCAAATTCCCTGTTAACAGTTATATATATTAAGTATATATATAGCGATGCACAAAAATTCATTGCACAAGGATTACTTGTAAAATCTTTTTAAGATGCGAAAATTCGTTACAGCTTCCACCATAATTAAAAGTACGGGCCAAGTCGTTACCGGTTCCAAGAGGTACAACAATTACGGCAGGCACATTCTGAGTCCTGTTTTACATGTTTACAAGTATATATAAAAGAAAAGACAGTAGAAAAGTAAAAACTGACGCCCTGCTGCGATACCTAAGCAGAGAAATAGAGATCTTCACACACTTCAATAGAATTTAAATTTTTTTTATAAAATTGTTATTTTTGATGTCTCGTACGACTTATACACTAATTTACAATTCTGCTAGGACTGAATTTACTAACGTAATTCTTACAATAAAAATTTAGATTGTGTTAAGTTATTTTCGCTTTAGTATAAAGTACGGGTAGCAAAGCTTGTCCATCTCCTGAAGAACCCACGACACCGTGCCGTCGCCTCCCATCACCAGTACCGTGTGCTCCACATCTTTAAACTGGGTATTAAAATATTTACAAAAAAAGCACACGAAGTTAACGAATAAGACTAATAAACAATATAATATTATATATAAAATTTCACCAAACGCAAAGTTTTCCCAGGATCCTCATTGTTTAAAATAACAACCTACACAAGGGCCGGGATATTTAGGAAATAATATATTTGTGATAAAGAGAAAAAAGTCACCTGAGAGGAGTTTAGTCTTAGCTTGTCAGATAATTTAACGGTTAAACGTTTCCCTGTGTTCCCTCCAGATCTAAATAAAAACGTTTAAAATAATAATCAAATATAATACCTAAACTTTGCCTGTAATTGGTTATGACAATAAGGGGTTTTTTGTTAGAATTTAGAGTAAAATCGTGAATTTCTTCACTGTTTACAACCAGAGAAGATCGTAGAGCAAATCTTTGACTACAGAAGCAATTAAAAGTATAATGAAATAAAACTTTCCGATTAAAGCAATGACTAAACACTAACTGAACTTACCATAATTCATCCCAAGACAGAGGAGATGAATCTAAAAGAGTTTAAAACATAAGTTTACAAGCTACATCGAATAACTATTAAAGATACTAACTGGGTAGATAGTCCATTAGCCCAAGGAACAAACTATGATAATAAATTTAGCAAAGTCGCACTATGTGTATATAACGTAGTAAGCATTTAACACTAAAACCTTAATGTGACCACCTGGATGACAATGAAAAGCTAACTACAGTCTACCATATGCAGTTTAAAATAAACCAATGAGATCAATAAATCAGACTTACGTGCTATATGAAAAGCTATTACTTTTCATCTTAGTTACAGTAGCGACCCCAATTTTCTACTTGCAGTTAAATATTTTCGTAAAACTGTAGGTACTATATATTTTTTTAATGTTTATGTAATTATTTTTTGATAAAGTTTTGTATTGGCAAGTTAAAAGTAAATGCCGTCATTAAAGACTAAAATATATGCTAATTCAAAAGACCTTATTTAACTTTAACTTTAGTTAACTAAAGCAATAATATAATACTACTAATAGATAAATATTAATTACTAATTTCCGAAATAGGTTGTTAAACACCAACTATAGTGATATATAGTCAAGGTTAGTGTGTGCTTTAGAATACTCCAAATTTTAGCAATTTAGGAGCTAAATTGGTTTCCAATTCTCGTTTAAACGGGACAATTTAGTTCATAACTATCTTTTCTTATAACGACTGTGGTAGTTATTGGCATAAATAAATATTACTTCTATCAAATTTTTCACCACGCCAAAAAGTGACGAAGTATCAAGTTCTAATACATCCCCCCTCCTTAGTAAATGATTTCATTTTTATTACAAATAATTGGATACATAATGTATTCTCTCACGACCCCAAATCTATAAAACAAATTTCTCTTGGGGGTGGCGGGTCCGAATCAAGCGATCGAATTCATATCTGCTAGATTCCCCCACATGCAGCTAGTCAACCAACCACTGGCGGACTTTTTCGAACGCAGCATCAGCCTCAGAGTAAAATGAAGGAAATGGAACTATAGATTCAACCTGTAACTATCAAAGGAGATATAGCGCCTCCATGATGTACTAATGCTAGCTTTATGCTTTTCCAGTATTAAGAGCAGTCCATTAGAACCGTGAGGATACACAACCTTTTGACTCTGCTATGTACAAGATGTCTCTAATAACACCCTTATGACAGGGCAAGGCAACCACGATCTTCGTTGTTTAAGCATTCCTCTAAAGGTGAGATAAAGGCAAGAGTGCTCAACCTCACTATATAATTTCAGCTTAACCCAAAGGAAAGCAAAGATAGTAAAAGATTATTAATCATCACGATATATATCTGTTATTACATTTGTCGTGTAATCAACCCTTCCACCAGCGAACTTAAACCAACAATCACAAACCCATTATCATAAGCTGAAACTGTAAAAGTCGTAGGTACTATAGAACCCACAGAAGTTCTCTGGTCTGCCAGAGTTTTTACCATTTTGTGATAAGAATGATAGTCAAGACTCTGAGTAACTGTACTGTAAAGAATTTATTTATTATAACGACGTGCTAACCAATTTTATAAAACATAGTTTTTAATACTTGTCAATAATCTATGAAAAGTATTAATAATCCAAAGCAGAATTCCCATACCAATTTTATATGCTACGTAGAGCTATAAATAACAAGTTGCCTAGTTTTAAACTTTTCTTAATACAGCTCGTGCGAGAATATAATAATATATACGCTGTAATTGCTAAGTAAAAGAACTATAATAAATATAACTATGTGAAAAAAAGTAAATCTACCTTACATATGTAGTAAAAAAGTTAGCAAGAGATAAATAAAAACAATAGCTGCGAACTTGGCACTTTTTACACCATTTTCAGAAGATAATTAACCAGATTTCTTACAAAAAGTCATATAAAGGTCCACAATGTAAAAACTACATAGTGATACCGTTCTTCTTACGTGGGTCTGAGTAAGTAAAAATATTAAAATACTGTATATACGATTGGTAAACAACAATATTGTAAAGAATGATATAATGACAGTAAAGAAACATATAACATAGTGAAACTATATAACAAAGCCCCCATGAATCTAAACAATTAAAAAAATTATTTTATAAATAATATAATACGACTTTAATTAAAAAAATTAAATGAAAACATTACACCGAAAAGGTACCCAGACTGGAAAAGACATAAATAAACTGAAGTAATAAATTTGTAGTACAGAGGCTGCAGTTTTATCAAAATATATTTTATACTTATATAGATGACGGCGAACAGTTTCTGAAACTAGCGTAGTAAATGCTTTCTATTTAATACAGGCTTTATCACTGCCAAAAATATATTACTTACACTGACTCACTTCTTACTTTACTTAAAGTTCATTAAAAAGCTCCAAGCGAAGGTAATGACTTTTTCAGTTGCACTTAATGCAAAAACTAGGGTCAACGTTTTATATAATAACAAAAATGTGAACTTGATAAGTCGCTAGCTATAAGTACTCGTACACGCACCCTTGCAACCTATATAGATACCCTCGCACACAAGTTAAAATCGTGCAAACAAGCGTTGAAAGTAAAAAAATAAGAAATAATGTGAGTGGATAGAATGTAAGAATCACTCACATGTCACTACTTTTATAAGAGACTACAATTTATTCTACAATTTTTGTTTTTAAGAAATGCTGCTTGTAATTTCCGCGAGATTTTACTCTCATGTATATCGAAATAATAGTCATTTTTATTTATCGATCCTTTTTTTAAAACACAATAAACTGGATAGAGCTTTGTTTTCTTCTTCTCCAGTTTTTGATCTTTCTTCCAAAAATAACGAAACTGAAGGATACTCCAAGCTTGCATTGAATAGTAAAGCATCCTTTGAGTATGACGAAGCAGTTAAAAAAGACAAGAAAAAGGGGGCTTCTTTTAGTCCTATAGCCGTAAATTTTATAATTATCTTTTTACTTATTAATTTTCATATACGTGGGTTGACTTTATATTACTATAACTTTTATATAGTTATTTATGTTATTTTTATTAATATTAAAAGCTTCTTAGCTTTACTTCAATTCTTTTAACGGGTTGCTTTCTTTACTTTGGAAGACCTGAACTTGATTCCCTAAATCCTAATGAAAGCTGTTAGTATTTCAACTTTATTGAGCAATTTTTAAAATTTTTCAACTACCTTTTTATTTATATTATACAGCTATATCTCCCGTCGCATTTGCCAATAGAGCGTGGCGCAGATTGAATAATTTATATTATGTGTTTATTATGTAAAAAAAAATTATTTTTATAGTATTTCATTTCAATCGTTTAGTCCTTCGCTGCTCCTTCCGAGAACAAACTTCTACCTGATAAAAATCCTGAGTTACCTCCATACACCCTGCTAATTGAAATTGATGATGTGCTTATTAAGACGGAGTGGACTGTTTGTTTTTGTAAATCTCCTCGGGTTAGGTGTCTTTTAAACAGTTTCACCCCCCAGACTGAACACGGTTGGCGTGTGAAAAAGCGACCCGGCGCCGTTCAGTTTTTAAATTATCTTTGCCAATTTTACGAGATTGTTCTTTTTACATCCTCCTCCGCTATGGTTTGTATTATAGCCCCCATCGTGAGTTTTATAGTTCATTTATGCTATGCTGTTAAAATAAGTAGAGTGCCGCTCCCTATGTGGCCGTTTTAAATAAGTACGGGACTGTTTCATATGCTCTATATAGGGACTCCACCCGTTACGAAAACTTTACTTTTATTAAGGTCGGTTTGTTTTTTACTGCGGTATATCTTACTAGTAAAGTTTGAGTACCCGTATAGGATTTGAGGTACTTGAATAGAGACTTGTCGAAAGTAGTTCTGGTAGACACCGACGAAAGCCACTACGCATTTACTCCTGAAAACGGCTTATGTCTCCCCCGCTGGGATGGTTCAGCGGATGACAAAACCCTCATTGAGCTGCTCCCTTTCTTTGAAGGTTCGCGTTATGCAATTTTCCAGCGCGGGGTAGTGTTACTCTCGCTGGGTATATTAGCCTTGGCCCTTAGCGATCTTGGTGATTTAAGGCCGACGCTCTCTCACTATGCCGGAAAGGACTTCCACAGCGAGTTTATAAAAAATCAGCGTCTTTTAAAGCTTCAAGAAAAGTACTTTATTTATAATATAAAGATTTGGTTGTTAATTTTTTGTTTTCTATTTTTATAGAGAAACTCTGCAAAAAAATAAAGACAGAGTCGAACGGTGGTCCTTTTCTTCACTTTGGCCGAGTCGCAGGAATTTTCGCGAAGGTTATTTTTGGGTCTACGTAGCTCGTTACTTAAATTTTGTAAATGTTTTACTATTGACAGCGGAATCGCTGGTTAAATCTGTTGAGGACGAGGTTTTGGCTTTTGAGAAAAAAAAAAAAGAAGAACTCCAACAACAAAAGAAAATCCCTAATTAACTACTCTCTTTATTAATCGTCCAGTTTTTAGTTCATGTTATTCTCGCCTTTAGTATCGGAAAACTACTAAATTATTCTTGTCATCTCTAACACCGGAAGACCTATTTTTATAATTTATTAGATTTTTAGGGTACCTTATGTAGTTATTAATTGAATATTAAAATTTACCATTACGGAGGTTTACTTTCTGGCTCATATTTAAAAATTTTATATTTTACGGCTTAATTTTGAGGCTAATTTACTTGTAAGTCAGAACCACGTGTGAAGACGTTGGGTATTAGCATCATCCAATTAATTAATTTTTTTAAGTTTGCTTAGTTTTGCAGCCCTCTCAACTCTTTTATAACGATTAAATTAATTCGTAATTATAATGCCGGCGATGGCATTGGATCACTTGTGCTTTGAACCTCGTAATTTTTGACTCCTCCGCCTTTTTTTAGTGGTATAAAGGTGGATTAGGCGGGCATACTGCTTCGTATGGCTTTTGCGCGGGTAGCTGCCATCTATCCATACTACTATTTTGCTTTCGATAAGAGCCATGTACTTCTCTGTCGCGCATCACCTTCTGCATCCACGACTTAATGTTTTGATCTTCCTCCAATCCAGCCGTCCTACTACCTCAACATTTACAGCTAATTTCGATGTGCTTGCTAGTTGGTGCCGTTACTTGGAGCCTCTTATTACGCAACACAGAGCAAGGTACTTTTCATAATAAATATACGCTTTGCGCTAACAACCTTGTTGACTTTTAACGGCATGGACATTTAGCGGTACCCTTAGGTATTTCACCTAAGGGCATTTCAATTTTTTTTTTTTTGTGTTCACTAGTCAATTATCAGGTGGTCTAGTTCAGGTAGCGATTTTAGCGTAATATTCTCTCTCTTTGCAAAGTTTCCCTACATTCGCTCAATTATGACATAAACATTTTCCCTCCAGCAGTATAGCGTCCTCGCCTCAAGTGCACCTCAACATTTTGAAACTGCCGGCCAATCTTAAAAGCAGTGCCGTAGCCGCTTACAACGGATACTGCACACGCTAACCGTCCTTTAGCGGGAGAACTAATCACTTTCGAGTTTATATACCTTAGTGTGCAAAGTTGGGTGTTTATGTTAACCACAAAGTACACAAAAACAGATCAAGAAAAAAAAAAACTTGTACTTGTAGGCAATTGGATCTGTGAGCTCTAGATTGTTCGAAGTTGTTAAGTGAATTAGCACCTGGAAAAATCCACAAAAATAATTATTTAGATGATAGAGGCTATTAAGTACGGTAGATCTGGTGTCAGCTAGTTTTACTGCATTGTACATTCAACGCAATAAACATTTCTGTATTTTAGCTTTCTACTTAAAACGTCTTTATATATACTTGTGCGAGAGTTCCAGCGTAAGGTTTCCGTACTTAATTATGTTACTTTCTTATATCGCAACGGATTAAATAGTTCCTAAAGTACCTCGCAATTGCTAAACCTTTAGATGCCTATACTAGTATCTGGAACGAAAAGAATATTAATATATAGTCTGTAATTTTAAATTTAGTATTAATGTAAGAATTTAGATTTCATTATGGTGCGCGCACCGCGCTACACAGTTAAAAATTGCAACAGTGCATGCAGCGAATAGAGTTTAAATCCTCAACTTTCCCGAACATATTCAAATTTTAATAAAACACCTGTGAAATTTTAGCTTATAAGTAATCCAATCTCTTTTTCATTGTCTCGTTAACAGTACCTGGCCGTCGCGAGGCTAACGAAAATAAAGCCACTTCTATACGGATCTTTTTTTTCTTCTTCTGTTACTGAATTATTTACATCTAAGGTTGACACACTACAGTTATTCAAAATTAGAAGAGGGTCTATAGTATTGCTAAATCTGATTTACAATTTGGAAAAGAAACCCTCTGCGTTTATGGTGTCGTCAAGTCATTCCCGTTATAGGTTATGAACAAAGATTTTATGTAACTAATCCAATAAAATTCAATGCGTTATATTAAAATTTATAATAATACCCAATTAACAATGATTTACAAATCTATCTAGATATATAGATTATTTAATTATATATTTAACTTTGAAAAAATAAACAGTGACCGCATCGAAATGGGTTTCTCCCTTCTGGTGATGGGCTCGTAGTCGGGGTGACCTGGCGGCAGTGGGTGCTGGCAGGTATCTTCAGATGGCCTCAGGTCTTGCGCCCCTCCCGGTGGTGGTTTTTAGCGGTCATCCGCCGCACTAGGTCGCATTGCAGGGTTCCGGGCCGGATATTTTCCGCTTCTTTTAGTTTTCTGGGACGGCCGTTATAGCTCTATAAAGAGCGTATCCCTGGTGGACGCTCGTGCTCCAACCCTGCAGAAGAGGGGAATTCGTAGTAAGCGGCTTAAGGTCTTAAGAAGACCGGGCGTAGCATGCCAGTGTTAAAAAAAAGTGACCGCATCGGTTTATATCATTAAGTCATCTTTACTTCTCCTGATTTTTGTTTCATTTTATTTTTATTATAGAACCCTTACATATATATAATTGTCCGTATTAATTTTTATATCGGACAAAGTATTTATCTGCCTGGGACGCACCTTGAAGTTATATTAAATGTTAATTTACTTGAGGTAATATTGACATTAGGGAAAGAAATATATAAGAAATAAGTATACTGTTAAGAAAATTTAAAAAAATTTCGTTTACTATAATGTGCTGTCTTATAAAAATTATACAAGAATTAAAGTTAATTTTGGAAGAAAAAATTATAGATTTTTTTTTACCAAACTAGAAAGCTTTGCTGTAGAAACCACAGTTGTGGTCCACCTAGAATAAAGAGAGCTCCTATAGTTAATTTAACTAACAATGTCTTGAACAGAGGTGTTTATAGTATTGGGGTTAGTAAATGGGTAAGTAATTTGGTTTAGCCCCACTGGGCCGTTGAACGATACATCTCATATAAAAAAGTATAAATACTCTTAAGTTTTTTAATAAATGAGATTAATGTTTATTATGTATTTGGTGGAGGCAGGTGTGGAACCTTGGGTTCCTTAAAATCAGTTGTATTCATCAAAGGAGTTTACGAAATGCATGTTGAAAAGTAGTGAGGCATGTACTGCCTAATGGATTCGATGTACTACAAAGGAAAAGTGATTATGACAAATTTAACTATAAGTTGGTGGGGGTTGATGATGATACTCTCTGTGAACCTACTAGATCTGTTAAAAAAAGAATTATTAAAGAAGGGCGCAAAAATGGCGCCGAAGCCCAGAAATTTTTCACTGAGCATCATTTTGCGAGGAATACTTTAAAGAAGTTGGTAATACTGAGAAAGAAATGGGTTAGTTCTCTGTTAATGAGAAATAGCAGTTAGTGAGATTGAAAACTGGTGGTATGACGGGATCAATGTTTAAAAATTAGTACAAAGAATTTATAAACTGAAATGGGATCCTGCAAAAGTCGAGTTAAAAGATTATTTTAGTCCTGTTCCGAATAGTTATGTAATAAATGATAAGTTAAAAAGCAGAGTGAGACAACGAGAATACGAAAATTTTTTGAAAGTAGAATTACTAGAGTTATCAACAGACTAGGAGTGAATTTATGAGCAGGTAGTAGTTTTAACATGAGATGGCTAAAATTTCCGGAGAGGAGATACAACTAGAACCGAACCTTATATGAGAAAGTGCGATAACTTGAGAGGTTTGAACAAACAATGCGTTGGGTACTGCGGTTCTAAGATGGGTAGTCCGCGTTCCTCGGTGAAAAATTCAAGAAAATTCGGCCGTCTGGGTTATCGACACGTCATTTCCAGGTGGGTTGCTAGGAGTTAGGGTCCCGCGTACCACAAATGAGAAAGAAAATTTTAGAAAGGGTATCAAGATCTGAGGTAATAAGTGGGTTGCCGGGCCTTATAAGCTGCAATAACCGGTATGGGCCCCTGGCTAGTTAAGTAGAGGGGGTTCCAACCTTTTCAAGGCTTTGCAGGGCTGGCAAAGATGACACACTGTAGCGAATGTTTCGCCTGGCTAAAACAGTTGTGTCTCCGCCCCCATAACCAGGCGATTCTGGCGGTAGTCGACGAGTTGCAGAGTTTGAATGAAACGTTAAGATGAGCCTCACATAATACATAGATCGATTGTTTCGCGTTGCTCCAAATCCTGCAACTCTTGTTTCCTGTAAAGAACGCCGTTCTGCACTTTAAAAAGATGGGTATGATAAAGTGCTCGTGGTTTTCAAACTAATTTAAAAACCTTAATCTGTTTTTTTTAATATTATTGATAAGGATGTTGTCAACATTGAAAGCACTTGTCTTCATGGTTAAATTCGCGGTATGAGAAATTGACGGAGTTACGCTAAAAGGGCTGTTTTTAAAGCGTTGGTAAAGCAGTTTGATGGCTGGTGTAGGTCTTCACGGATAATGTTTTTAGCAGGATAGATAGCGAGTGGCTTCACCCCAATCTGCACAAGTGGCAGGACTTTATCATACTTTAGTGAAAATTTGCCTCGCGGAGAGCGAGATGTCTTGTATGCGTAAGTCTCCCTGGACGCTTTGGACGTCGGATCGCTATAGATTATGCGAATGATAACTATTCCTTTGGTGGTTGGCAGACGAAATGTGGTAGCGCTTCTTCACACATAAGCGAAGTGATGGCTTGAGACTCGCCTGCTGTGTGGGAAAAATCTTAATTCCTTAACGTAATTTCCTACACTTCCTATTTCGAAATCATCGGCTTGCAGAAGATTTAAAAATTTAGTTACTTTTTTCGCAGAATTATTTCACTTAATAGAAATTGCAGCCGCGCAAGGTGGATGGGGAATTGTTGGTGGTATTTCGGGTTTAGGGAAAAGTATTACATTTTTAAGTCAAGACTATCTTCGTGCTCTCTAAAAGGTATATCTGCGCCTTTGCATATTTTAGTCACTGTTACTATTAGTAAAATTGAGTTTTCAGTGATTATACCTAAAATTTCTTTAATACGGTCGTTACAGTCAGCAAGGCTACTTGCCAAATAGTATTAAAAAAATTTATTACGACCACCACATGACTACCACTTATTTTTCTAAATTAGTAA